TTTTTTTATGCTCTTTCGAACGAGCTATCACAAAGGGGGTCTTCCCATTTGAAAATTAAAAGTTGGGGGCCGTTGCCCCCCCAAGGGGGGCCCCCTGAAAATTTTAGGGGGGCCAAAAAGTAGCCCCTTTGACTTAGGAATATCCCCCAGGTTTCAAATCTTTACCTCAATTAGGTAAAAAGTTAGAGGGGGTGGAAGGGACTTTTGGATCACCCTGTAGATAAATTGTGTAGAAATTCGTGTGCTTTGTAAATCCTTAAGTTTGTACGGAATTACCTTAATATTTACAAAACGCACATTATATTTTCCTTAACTACATATTTTTTTCATCAATTAAAATGAGAATAATCCATACAGAGTGTGAAAACATTTCAAAGTCATGCGTTGAAAAACGCTGACTCCACGCGGCGCATTGGCGCCTACAAACCTAACAGGTATACTTCACGCATTGCGCAATGCGTGAAGTATCCCTGTTAGGTTTGTAGGCGCCAATGCGCGTTCAGCGCTGGCTGCTCGCCGGACTCGCCCGCCGCGCCGCTCCGCAGCGTGCCACGGCGCTTGAAGCAACTATTTCACACCAGAGGTATTGCACAGTATCATACAAAATTGAAAGCGCTCCAACATATTAGGAATGGAAGGTCAGGCATCCTTCAAAAGTACGGAGCTTTCTTCGCAAAAAATAAATCAAGATACTACGGCCCAAAAAGAGAGCGGTAGTCCAAAAACTCACCAAGTCCTAGCATCCGTAATGAGTAACGTTTAGCATACACTTCATCGCCAGGATGTTGCTTACTCGTCATCGGCTATAAAAGGCTATAAGAAATTGTGTTGCCGGCTATAGAAGCTATTGGAAATCTTATAGCCGGCTGTAGGTCTATAGTATTTTGGAACACAGATTCTACTGCCAATTTTTTCCAGGGCAATTCTCGAAACCTTCCGTGATTTTTCTTCTCTGTGCGAAGAAAATTCTGCATAAACTTCATGGAATGGTGTCAATTCGTTCTCTTTTAAGAAAATAACATAGAGGCGGAGATTTTCAGCGACATCGCAAACGAGTTATGCGATTGCCGACTTACACCGTCGATACATGATCCGGAAAAAGAGGACGAAAAAAAATTGTGTTGCTCTCTTTCACCTGGAAATATCTTCACGAGCTTGTTTCCTCCTGGAACTTAGCTCCGGGACCTGTGTATGGAAGCCAATAATCCGAGAACAAATACGACTGAATATTTTTCGTCAAAGACAAGAAATAGGATTGTCGAAGGGTAGAGAGAAGCTAGCGCATTACCTGCAGCCATATTCTTGCCGGGGCTCCTTTGTCAGAGGTCCAGTTGTGAGTTATTTATGCCAGGATAGCCCACCGGGAAGTCTTGCATCTGCTCCTTATTTCGTCTGCCCTTGTTTCTCCGTTCCGTTCCGTTCCGCTTCGGTCCGGTGCCGGTCGTTCCGGTTTACCAAAATAATTCCCTGTCAACGTTCTCCCGCACCGATATCACTGAGAAATTCATGCGATTCACCCCGCTCGCGTCCGCAAAACCGAGTGGATTTTTCATTCCGGAACTTATCCGCTGCGCAGCTCTCTGGTTGTGTTCCCGGATGGAAGTTACCGCATTGAGCAATTAGCGGTGCCCTAACGATTGAACTCACTGTAGAACATCCGATACCGACCGCAGAACAAACAGGGATCACTATTCCGAATTATTGGTAATTGATACTTGACGATTAAATTATTTTCCGGATTTAATTATTCCGGACTTAAAACTAATGCTATTCCGGACGGTGGGTTGCTATTGGCCGCGATTCGACAATCTTCACGAGTTTTTCCTTTTCTTTTTCACCCGGTGATTTCGCTCGTAATTAACGCCGCAGATTTTGTCCGTATCCTCCTTTGTTTTCTGAAACAGAGAAAAAAAAAACAATTGAAAAACGTTAGTTTAACAACCTTTAAGCGGATGCGTTTTTTACTGAGGCTTTGGCGGTAAAGAATGGCGGTCACTATGCAAGGTTTCAATGAAAGCACCAACATATTTTCTGCTCAAAATTTTATAAGGGAACCGAATGACACAACAGGTTGTCTGGAAATAAAACCCCAGTCAAAAATAAAAGTTTAAAATTGACATTACTTAAATTACAAAAATAAAAGTGACATCAGTAGTTTTCAATAACTTTCCTTTAATCCGTAAAACCACTCGTTGAGTCAATCGGTTTCTACATAACATTTTGAAGAGGAAAAAATTACTTTTTCTAACATTTTGAAGAGGAAAACATTACTTTTTCTATCAGTCAAACCCTGTTTTAGTGGCTCATTGTTACAAAAGAGATAAAGAGGTTATGCATATTTTCATTTCGTTTTCAATATATAAGGAAGGCCAGGAAACACCCTCTATGCTGCAGTTTATGATCTATTCTGAAATCGACGTCTTGTAATATCGATGTCTATAAGCCATGCCCCGCAATGAGTATGATAATTTTCATCTCTATAGCTGGCTATGCTTTTTTAAGATAATCCTAAACATTGAATATTAATAGGAGGCGTATCGTGTGTAGTATAATACGTATGATTAACGTAAATGTGTATGATTTAAATATTATGATTACTTTCAAAGTTACGGTAAAAGTGCTTCCCCGGAGTTTATGCAGGAAACACCGCCAGTTTTAATATTGAATCACTTCAATACATGCAGTTAAAAATCATGAAGCTGCTTTCGTCTGTTCAGGAAAAAAAATTCCTCGGAAAATCTCTGAACTTCCCAGATCGAAGAGAAAAAAAGGATGAAAAGGCCTATTTTTTGGGTGCTTTCCATGACTGTCTTGTCTCCTTCATACGCGTGGCCCGGCATTGTGTCGACTTTAAGTTATGATCTTCAAGTGCCAACTTTTTCATTTTCTGAAGTTTCAAGTTATAAAAAAGAAACGAGTTCAAAAAGTTTACTTTTGTTATTTTCTTGTTTCGCGCCCCCGTTACACATAACTCTTCTCTGTCTCCTGAAATGGCATGGCACCTGAAGTCAATCTTCTCGCGGCCCATCACAAGTTACTACTTTTATCTAGCAACAAAGTACAAGGTGTCTTTAGGCGAGCTTTGTTTGTTGAATTGCGAAATTTATCCTATAAAAGATTTGGATGGAAATTGATTTAAAGAGTTTCTGGTCTCCTTCGACACATGAGTGATTTAAAGCGCTTGCGAATACTATGACAAGTACTTTTTTCCAATTTTTCACTTTTACCTCCCGTTTGGACGCAACAGTCATGCGAACTCAATAGTCATCCCTAAAACTTTTCGTCCCATGTAATGTTAGACTTTTGAACCCATTCCTCCGAAACATCCCTCCATGACGCTAAATGAGAATCCCCTCCAAGATGAAGACGTCAATTATTTTTCCTAATTGTAAGTTTTTTTTTTCTTTTTCAAAAATCTCACTAAATTTAATGATGCCATAGTTTCTTTGATCTGGAAAGTTATTCTGATACGTAATTCCAAAAGGACGACCTAAATGAACACAGGAAATCTTATTACCCTCAGAATTATCTACTCCACTTGGGACTTAGTTGCAAGGTACTTTTGGTTTTTTTCTAACTATTGTACGAAAAAATTTAATATGAGAACACATCATGCACGACAGAGTAATTTGAATTTCAGGGATTTATGAACTTAAAGAAATTTTGAAATGCGTTCTTTCGCAAAAAAATTTCGCCAAATTTCATCGAACATTTTATTTGTCTGCTGAAATAAATATAGATTGTGAATATTAGTTTACACATTTCAAGGAATTAGCTTCACCTCTCCGCGGAAACCCCCTAAAATTATCAAAATAATTTAGCCTACCATTCTTCTGTATAAAAAGATAAATTCAAGCGCATTGAAGGGCATTTCTTAGTCGGGGTGTTTCAGGATCTCCGATAGCGTTCCATCCCCTATAATGAAAGCAAACGCATGAAATTCATTGAAACTTTTTCTGAACTTTTTTTATGATTTAACATTGCCAAAAACTAAAAATTTCAGAAAATTCATCCAAAAGTTTCCTCTCTAAAATATAAATTAGCTGTGGAGATTCTGAAACACCACAACCAATAAACGCCCTTCCTGCACCCAACGCTCCAATCATCCGATGAGATTCGGCGATGGCGGATGTGACTTGATTCGTTCCTACTCAACGCGGCCCGGCCGTCATCTGAAACATCTGACTCTTCGCCTGTCATCACAAAAATTGCTACCCCTAAAATTTCCAGCCTGGAAACCGAGTTCCTCCTCCGCGGGAAACGTGACATTTTTAAAGTGTGCGCTAAACTAAAATGAGGCGTTTAGGTAAGATTGGAAAGGGAGGGGTTGAGGCAGGGTCTTTATTGAAGTGCAGGGACCCGTGAGCGACTCGCCACCTCGACTCGAGGGATGATGGGGGAACGCAACCCCCCTCCCCCCTTCACCATTTTCCACAACACGCCTCTCCAAATCCGATCTCACCTCCCCCTATCCTTTCGACGCTCCGGATTAAATCCCGACAACGACAATTTTCGGAGTAAATAAATTTAGGGGGTGATAAATGAACACCAGCCTTGATTCTCACCCCCGCAAGAGGTCGCTCCGCAGAACAACACCCTATGTATATTCAGACATTGCCAAATTGCCTCTGATGAAATGTGTATTGTCGAGGAAAAATATGGATATTTATCCTTGACATTTTCGGGATTACTAGACTGCATGACAAAGTAAATTCTCTGACAAATTTAAAAAAAGAAAATTCAGAAGTATTCGAGAAAATTTGGATTTCTTCAGAAGAAATTTAACAACGTTTGAATTTTCGTTTGATTGAACGTTCTTCCTCAACACGACAGCACTGTGCGTCACAGCAGACTCATTCACCACTTGCAGTGGGGCGGTTGTTGAACCCTTAGCGAATGATCTTGATCGATAGACTCCTATCTTCTTGTTAAAATGATATGCATCGGTTAAGATCTTGACTCACTATTCTAACCTCCATTACAAAAAGGCAAAATTCCCCCCAGACAGCGGTGCTGATGTGCCTACAGCATGTAGTTTTCATATTAGCAGCATTGACGAACTCATCCAAATTTCTCAACCCCCATCCCCGGATGGGCCCGAAAGTTGATGGATGCAAACGTTGGGCAAAATTTGGACTGCATTTTGCAATTTGGAACTATAAATTCTGGCTCCTCTAGAAAAACACTCATGTGCATGGGTAAATTAATATCACATGCATCGTTTTTAAACCGGGCCAGAATTTATTGTACTAATTGAAAAATGTAGTCCATTTATCAAGCAACTGAGTTTGGCTCTTGACTTTAGCAGGGTGTTTTCTCCTTTGGGTTGCAACCTTTCTGATTTGGTCGAAGAAGTTGAACAAATCCACCCGCGGAAATTTGCCTACAGGAATTTGACCGCTTTTAACATAAAGGAACCAAGCCACATCAGATATTACCAAATTTAAGTGGGCAATTTAATTTTTTACAATAGGATATTTTGATTGCATTTTGCAATTTGGAGCTATAAATTCTGTCTCATCCGAGAAAACACGTATGTGCATAGGGAAACTAATGGCACATACGTTGTTTTTAAACCGGGCAAGAATTTAAAGTTCCAAATTGCAAAATGCAGTCCATTTCTGCGGATTCCTGTGAAGATGATAAGGAATTTGCTTCGCAGTTAGCAGAGAACTCATTGGCATTTGCACACAAATCTGCACAACCGCTTTTACGTAAAAAAATAAATTGCCCTATTAAATTTGGCAATAGCTGATGTGGCATAATTCCTTTCTGCTTTAATTAATCTACCTGTGAAATACTTAAGTTTATGAGTTTTATCATTTTCTTCGAGATCATCAAAAACATGTTCATCGAATGCAAAACTCAGGAGGCAAAGATATGAAAAGGCAGAGTGGGATGTTATTGATGTAATAGAGAATTTGCAGGTGTCTAAAATTTGATGAATTTCGTGTTCAAGTGTAAACTACTGAGTGAACTGAACACGAGGATACTTTTGGTTCATGAATTGAACAATTATAGGAGAAGATATGACAAAATTATCTAATCTGCTAAAATACGTGTGTTTAAATGGGAAATGCCGCCAGATGACGTTACTAGGCTGTGCATTTTCTCACTTTTAAATCTATTTTTATACTATTTCCCATATCAGAAAAAAATTATAAAAAATACCGCGAAATCAGCTCTTTAAGCACTTTCAGATGAAGCAATGAAAAATTTGCGCGCAAATTCTCCATTGATAGAGTGCCCCCTCTATTTTAATACTATTTAGTACTATCTCATCAGTATCGACCAATCAAAAATGAAATGCCTGTCGGAATGTGGAGGAGTGAACTCTATGTAATTTCGAGGGAAACAAAAGAGTCAACGACATGATTTCGTTTCGATCGGAGGGTGAGAAAACGCGTTGAAGATGAGCCATTGAACAAACGCTGAGCTTCTGTGGGAAAGACAATGCTTGTCGAGGACTGGAGCGGTGAAAAGAGGGGGCGGGGGCCAGATATAATGTAAGGAGAGTGGAAAATCGGGGGTGAGGGAATCGACTAATTTATTGAGCTGTTTGGAGGTGTCGCCGCGGAGAAAACACCATCTTCCGATGAAATTTATTCGCATCTCAAAAAAATAAAATAAAAGTGGAGTGGCGAAACAGCGTGCGAATTGCTTTTCCCTGATACACGAAAATAGAGACTTGCCTCTTGCTTGCCTCGCGATCGCCTTTCTGCTTTCGAACACTGTCCTCGTCCTTGTTTGTTGTTGTTGTAGTCTGGTGTTGAAAGTGCGTTTAGATAAAAGGGCAATGATAAAACGAACGTAGAAAATACCTTCCGGAACCGCTCAGAAATTAAATCGCTGGGATCGCAACCGATAAAATTCCAAAGTATGTGAATACATCAAT